GCAGGGGAGACGTGGCCGAAACAGTAAACGACGTTTCAGACAGAGCACCGTTAACAGGATTGGTGTCGAAACGCAAGCTTTGACCCTCGTGTGGCGGCGGCGCTGGGATGACAAATCGGCCATAAAATTCCACGTGACTCGTCCGACGCCGCCAGCCTCACGCAGAGAGCCTGGTCATCCTCAGTCATTCCCGGGATAAGACTATGACTTCCAGGCAGTCGCTGCTAATCTTGTCCGCCCAAGGGAGAAAAGCACGAATCTGAAGCTGATTTCCTGAGTTTTCTCTGTTAAAGACACGAGAATGGACGGCTAAGGGTGGCTCTCACAGATCTGCTGCAACTGCACCTTCTGTTACTCTAGGATATTTGAGATTGCTGCTGCCTTTCTTCATTTATAAGTGAAGCTGCACTTGCTAGTATGCATGACCAAAGTACCTATGCAGAGCTAGCTAAAGCACAACTGTAGCTAGTTATTTCCAGGAGTTAGAGGTGCCTCTGAAAAGACACCTTTTTCTTTAGTGTCTTGAAAAGCAAGGCTTCCAAATGGCGATTTCTGCTGGGACAAGAAAAAAGTCATAGGAGTTTGATTTTTTTGTCTTTGCTTACAGCTTTGTCTCTGCTTAGAGGAGTGTAATAACCAGTCCAGCTGGCAATAAAGCAGGCATTCAGTTCCACTGAAATGGAAAGGGAGGCGAAAAACGCTTAGTATGATACATGCTTGTAATTCTAAATATTTTGAGGAGGAGAAGGGGCGTGGTTCAGGAGGCTTATTTGATAAGTATTAGAAAATATTTAGAAATAATGTGGGCATTTTCAATGCCAAAAAAAAAAAAATCATCTCTTTGCTTTTAAACATAAACAAAGAGATCTGGAAAATAGGACTTTTACATCCATTTCATACCCAAACTCTTGTGTTTCGTACCTTTGTACTGGTGATTCAATCCGTTTCCAATACATTTCTTTATCAAAGCGGTGTGTCCAAAGTTTTAACAAGAAGAAACTTCATGATCCTTAAAGCCCACATATCGTAAAGAATACCAAAGTTCAGTACCTTGTTAAGGTCAATATATTCCACGTGTAGATAAGAGCTGAACTATTGTTCCTGTAACAATATAACCTGAAAAAGATCATTTACTTTGTTCCATTTTTGGAATTAGGATTCCCTGGATGAAAAAAAAAAAGCCATAAAATGTATAATTTTCTGGTGGTTTTTATGCTGAAAATGTTTTATGTTATGTTTCCTTGGTTTTTGGTATAATATGGAGACAATATATTTATTAGTTTTTTAAAAGAGCTGTGTTCAAAATTAAATAGGATGTACTTCAGAGAATATTTTTGTTTGTGGGGAAAAAATATCAGACTAGAAAATATTATCACTTATTTGAGGAGCCATCCTCAAAGTGTCTAGCTGTGTTTTACAGTGCAATCCAAAATCATCCTTCCTAAATGATACTAAAATTTCTAAAATACTCTTTCTTCAGTGAAATTGAAGGAATTGACAAAGGCAGGTGTTATACATTTGATTTACAAATAAAAAATGAATGCCCATAGAGACATAAAATTCCTGTCCAAAAAAAAAAAAAAAAAAGCCAGTATGAATTACCTTTCCTAGATAACTTTTAATGACCTTCTCTGCCTTTTCTGGAGCAGTGGTCATGAACTTCAGCCTCATATCTGATACAACTGCTCTTTTTGGAGGCTTATCAATGCTAGAGAACACTTATTTTCTGCTTCACAGAGAGACCATGGGTTTCTAAGACACAGAGAACTTCTCAGGACCGCTGAAACACTTCTGTGAAGACATTCAGAAAGTCTCATGTACACTGCCCGGTGTACTCAGAGGTGCTATCCCTAAATGCTCACCCATCATATTTGATCATGCCCGTGACCTTATTTGGAGCAGCTTGGGAGTTTTCAAAACACACCACATTCATTTTCAGAAAAAATGAGAGAGGGAGGTAAATCTGACCACTCTTCTTAAATGAGATTATTTAAAATTCAGCATGGTGTTCCCATCTTATTAAAACCAGAGATGGCAAAACATACAAATATATTTGTCCAGAGAACAGAATAAAGAAAGAAAATTTTTAGAAATTACCTGTCTAAATTTCTCAGGCTTTTTTCTCACACAGAGACTGGGATGAGTCAGTATAACTGCTCCCATTCCTTAAACGAGAACCCACTACAGTGGGCCTTACCGCTTTGCTCAGAGTCACAAAGCGGGAAGAGCTGCTTGCGCTTCACACACCGGTTGTGCTCAAGCCACCATATGCTTCCTTCCATCACGGTACTCTCCTCTTCCCTTACTCCTCACTTCAACAGCCAGAAACTCTTCTCCTCTCTCCCTTTGACATTGCTTTCAACCTTTTTATACTGAATAATATTATTGAGGTGGACGGAGAAGGGGGAGAGTTTATATTCACTTACAGCCTAAGTTTAGAAACCAAACTCAACGCCCAGGTTAAGGGACCCCTCTTCCAAGCTCCTCATAAAGCCAATGGACAGAGAAGGTTGCAGCCCGAAGTCAGTTCAGAGCAAGGTGTTAAAGCTGTTGTTCTGGTAACACCCATCTGCCTCCGAAAGTGAGCATGCTTCCTATCACAGGCTGATGCTGGGGGCGATGTGAATAGGACCTATGTTACATATTTACAACAAATTTCTTTCCTAGCCTGTTTCTTCAAGCATCTAACTTTTTTTTTTCTTTCATTTTCTCATATGAAAAGAGAATGTTTTGTCTAATTACCATTTATAATAAAGAAGTCTTAGCTGGGAAATTTAAAAGACTGTTGTAAGATACAGATTTTCTTCTGTAAAGACCAAGCCAACACATTACGGAAGTAGTAAGTAGAATTTGGACCCAGAGCCAACAAGAACTATTCTGTTTGTTGATTTACTTTTTGGTTTCTAATTAAATTGAAATTGTTCTTACAAAAGGGGGAGGAGAGCTACAGTGCATAGGCCAGGTAAACAAGTTCAACAGGCCTGAAAAATGAGAAGGGCATAAATAGAGCAACTTCTATACATCTTACTGTAATGAAAACTATAACAACCTCAACTCATTTCAAAGACCTGCCTCAGTGACATGCAGTACAAGTAGTATCGAGAGGACCTAGCACTGCATCACTGCTCAACAATCGCACAGCTTTCCTAGCCTGTGGTCCTGCTTTTGACTCCTGGTAGTCTTGGCTTGGGATCTATTTCGAGCTACCTGCGGTTGGAGTAGTATGTCTGTCATTCAAGATACCTGTGAGATCTACATAAAACAAACGCTGAAAAATGCAGGGTTATATTTCATGTATTTACAGGTTTCTAACTCCAGTTAGGGAAGGTAGACAAGGAAATAAGTCTCTGAAAAAGTCTGTGTTGATCTGGAAGTTTCCTGTGAATGTTTTGCAGGCTGTGATTTTGAAACGTACTAAGTTCTTGAATGCAGGTACAATGGTACCTCTGGCACCCAGAAAACACGAAACACTTCGGAAACTTTTTTCTTGAAGATTGGTGATCTGAAACTGTGCAGAATACAAATCTGAAGTCCCTGTAGAGTAAATGGAAGTGTGGAGTTAATATTTTGCTGATAAAACCAGGAAAGATTAGTCAGTATTATTTGACTTGAAAAACAACCACAAAACAATTTTCAGTAACCACTAACAATGAGATTAATACCTTGAAATACAAGAAGTACTTTTCGATAGGAAAATTATTGCATGTAACTATGGATTTGCAGCTATAGTCGCCTCATTTGCACATTGGAATGGATTAGCTAGCAAGTCTCACAATCGTGTTATTACCCTCTGCTGGACAGGATGAAGGTAAGACCTGCTGGAGCATGCCATAAGCATTAAATGCGGCTGATGTGCCCTATCAGCAATTCAAGACACACAGGGAGGGAAGTGGGACTTTGAAATTTCTATACTGGTCCTTCTAAATTCTCATTTCAAGCATTAATCGGGAGTATCCTGGGTTAAAAAAAGAAAGAGGGATCACAGTTTTAAATAGGTGGATCTGTGTTCTATGTCTTTTTATGAGTTCAGTTTTAAATCATGGGTATAATCCATCCATCAGTACACTAATAATCATTTCAGGACTTTTTGCACAGAGAGTTTGCAAATCTGATCCCCACTGGTGTACAAGCCCTCAGTTTTCAGTACATCAAACTGATAATAAACAACTTAATATTTAGGGATAAGGGGATTTTCACATATGTCCAATTAGCTGCTTTGCAGAAAATACTCAGTGGTGTAATAGTGAAGGATCCAGTACTTCAAGTACTTCATATGCCTTATATGAATATAAAGGCAAGAATCCGGCAGGGTCACAGGAGAAAAAGAGGCATGCACTTTCCTGTAGGCTTTTATCCAGAATCATTGTGAAGCCACGAAGCTCTAGTTACTTCCCTGGGACTCTCCCACAGCTGATGCAGAAGTTTTTTCCTGATATTCCCTCTGAATATAATTTTATATATGATCTGGTATAAGAGAAGCCAGTCAGAAAGGAAGGTCCTTTCAGTGGTGACCTTGAAATAAAATCCCACATTGATTTGCACAATGGGAAAAGCATTATGAGTGACAGACAAGGATAGCATCCCTTTCTGAACAAAAGTTCTGAGTCAGTGTAACTGCTTTCCAACAAATTTCCACACTATACCAAGCTATAGAACAAATAAATTGGACACCTTTTTTTCCATTATCTCAAATTTTAGTCTCAGAATTGCTAAATACTTTACCTGGGTAGCATTCAAAATGCAGAACAGATAGCTGAAAACCAGACTTGTTTCTTCATGACTTACTAACATGAGGTACCCTATCGTCCAGGTGATTCTGAGCACTGCAACTATAGAGATAGTGCCAGTCATCTTTTTCATAAATTAATCCTTTTTATTCCTAGAAACACACACCAAAAAGTTATTAAATCTTTCTCTATGCCACTTAATGTCTTTTGAGTTTTAAACTTTCTATTTTATTTATTACAGTGCTATATAGTGCTATAGGCTATAGTTATTCAGGTGAGTTGAGAACACGCACTCCCTACATGTGTTTGAGGTGTCATCCGGAGAAGAAACCCAGAAAAAGAAATCTATCCAAGCTTATCAGAATAATCTGTGTTTGGAATATGTATCTTGGATGTGTCTTTCTTTAACAAAAAAGTGAGGTTTACCAAGGCAACAAGAAGCATTGAAAATTAATGCATTAGCTATTATAAGCTTTTTAGAATGCTTATAGCTTCAATCCAAATGTGCTCAATTTTCGATATAAGAATAAGCTGCCAATGAAGTTTGGTTATCCAATTTCTCTCAGGCCTGAGAGGAGTCAGAGATAAGGTATTTTGGTTTGTGCCAACCATGAAATATGTATGTAAAAGGAATGAAGAAATGGTGCAAACTTTTGTTGAACAGATCAGTTCTGTGGGATTAATAAAAATTAAAGCAATTGCCTTTTAAGTAGTACAGTGTACACTGCAGAGTTTGTGACTTGAAGCCTGTGAGTGTTGATGTAAAATTGAGCAAGTAAATCTGCTTCAAAGCTGCTAGAAAGCTGGTCTGACGTTCAGATGTACTGAGAAATTCATAATACTGATTTGGCTGGACGCAGCTTAGCTTTCATTTTTATTGATTTAAATCAAGAATAACCTTCACTGAAGTCAAGTTGAATGACACTGCAACAAAAAAAAAGGGGGCAAAAGTCTGAAATGTGTTCACTGATATGTACTTGCACAAAGTTTGACCCATTGCAACAATGAAATTCATTTTCTGACAGCTTTAAGCATACATTTCTTCAAAGCAAAAGATTTTGTTAAAAATCTGAGTTTGTGACAAGAAAGTCTGCGCTGGTGACAAGAGACCAAGCAATACTTTTGCTGAAAGATCTGAGAAGTCCTATGCCATCTCACCTTGTCAAATTCTCATTCTTCTTCCATATCACAGAGACTGTGATCTTGATGAAGATGCTGATGTTAAGCAGGAATACTGGCAAAAGGAATGACCACAACGTGGGCTTTTGCACACTGAAATTCTGATTTTGATCCAGTGCTGCAAGCCAGCAACTTTTGATATAAAGAGAGGCCATTTCAAAAGATTTGTTAGATGCATTATTCAGAATACCAAAACAAAACAATAATACTCCACTTTTCATCCTGAAAGACCTCAGAGGGCTTTCTAGGTTGTGTTAACCTGTCTGTGAAAGGCAACCATTCCTTGAGAACTGAGGGCTTTCAATTGTGCTTCCTCTTTCTCTGGGGAATGCAAAATGGTTTATCAAACAAACTGCATGGAGAAATATAACAAGGTGCAATATAACTAACCAAATAGGTATCTGGCCATCATATGCAAGTTTATCTTTAGAGTATATATTATAACAGAGCTAAAGAGTAATAGGGGAGACCCATTGGATGAAGGTTGAAACAAAAACAGGGGCAATTTCAGGAGGACAGGGTTATCCTGCGATAATCTTTACCTTTTTTTTTCATTGCCAAATAAGCTCAAGTTGGAAATCAACACTCCTTAAATGAGTATCATGTGGAAGGGGGTTTGTGTTTATGTTTCCGAAAGAGGTCTACCTTTATTCTGTATCGTCCACTATCACCAAGGTACATTGTAAGCCTGACAGCCTGCTTTGGTATGTGGGCACTTGAATGCAGATACCAAAACCATAGGGTAAATAGGGATATAGTTATGTTGGCCAGAAAGATGCAACAGACCTATGTTGCTATGCTAGTGAACAAGCTATCGGTTTCAGTGCCATATCAGGACAATGAAAACAAGCTCCACTTTTACCAACAGTGTGAGCAGTAACAGGAGATTAGTTATTAAATCATGTTGCGCTAAACCAGAGAGATACTGATTATAATTGCTCTCTACTGATCTGCTATCTTTACAACTCTCCCTGAATGTACTATGTACTGATACTTTGGTAAGAGATGCTATATATATGACTTTAAATCTTAACCCATCCAATTACTGACATGGTTACAAGGAAGTGTCCAGGCAGGAGCTTCATGGCTCTAAGCAGCAGTTAAGTACAACTGTGCAAAATTGAGTGCTGTCCACATAAATGTTACCAACAAAAAATAGTGCAGTAGGACAGCCACAACCATCCCCCAGGAGTCTGCGGGAGGATCTACCACGTCAGATGTGAGTTAAGGTGTTACTGGCAGTATCATAAGGAAGGTACTGCTGGTAGTAGCTGGTGGTATCACTGCTGTGATTCATGGCGTTTTGGTTTTCAATTCCAGAGATGAATAAAAATAAGCATAGAGAAACAGAGACTCACTAACATCCACATTACAGATGACTTTTGAGTTTTCCTATTGGTAGGAATACATTTAGAACAAAAAAGTAGAGCAAAATAAGAAAAATTGTAAAATATTTCCTCATTTCCATTGATAATAAAGCAAGCTTGAATGTGTGGTCTTTAATACAGACAGAAAACAAAACAATAACTTGTTTGCAGAATTCTACGCTGTCATTACTCTCAGACAACTTACCAACAGAGAATACCTAGCACCTTTTAGGACTGGGGCCTTTTCAACAGTAGTTGGGATGCATTTTCTTTTTTCCACTCTGGTCTTTTTAGAATCCTTTTCTTCAGTGTTAAGAGGTGGAATAGCTTAAGTATTTCTAAACACTCTTCAAGGTACAAGAGAGTAATAAACCTCCACTTCCCAATGCTTTCTAATAAATGCATTTAAAAGGCAGAGCCTGGAAGCTCCTACAATCTTAAATACATTGACCTTGATGGAATTGCTCCAAATCTACAGCACTGCAAGCAGGTGAGAAACATGCATTCATCTACAATAACTACAGCTCTGTTGGCATGACTTTGCTCCTCGTTCAAGGGGGAATGACAGCACATCATTAGTCACGAGCACGTCCATCAAGCAAGTTTGCTGCAATTGTGTTTGAATTAAGTCACTCAAAATAAAACTGTAGCACAAGGAGTGTATATAACCTGCATTGCTGTATGATCATGGTGCTTTGAAATCATCTATTCTCTATCTATCTGTTCTATAGACATTTTATAAACAGAAGGCAATAGAGTATAGAAACTATCAAATAGGCAACAGAAAGCAGAGTAACATTTAAATAGGATAGCAAGAAGGGGACCTGAGGAGTGTTACATATGCTTCTACATGAATGCTGAAAGTCTAAGCAGTAAGACAGTGAGCTGAAATGAATAGCCTTAAATGAAGACACCAACGTAACAGGCATATGGTGACTGGTAATACCAGGGTATAAGGCATACAGGAAAATAAAAAGGAGGTCATGCTGGTGGTGGAATACTGTTATACATTTTAAAAGCCTAATATTAAGTGAGTGTAATGAATTAAACACCTCGATGTGTAGCATGGATCAACATAGCAATATACAGCTCTGGGTCTGTGTTGTCAACTGCCTGGCCAGGGCAGTAACAGAGATGTCAGCAGGGCAGCAGGGGACATGAAATGCAACAGAAATGGCAGGCTGCCTTTACCCTGTGTAGATGGGATAAATGTCACTCTGGGACAAAACCCAGAGGTCAAATTTTTAGACACGATGATGGGAGTCCACGGTAAAATGATCAACCCTTGCCTTAATACTCAGTAGCATACACTGCCTGCTTTATTATCTTATAGCTGGTGAGCTGCCCTGTCAAAGTGATGGAAAGATTTTTCTTGTCAGCAGCCATGTCCAGTGTCTCCTACAAAAGCCTTGGCCTTCTACCAGACTGGGCTCTTCCATACTCTGTTATATCATTACTTTTCAAATCTCACATTTTTGAAGGTGGATTTATTGAATAATAATCACATATATAGATATCCTTACATAAAAAGATTAACATTAACAGAAAGGTTAAAGTTTCACCTAGGTGAGTGGTATAGCTGAGATATCTTGCGTCTTCACTTTAACCAGTGAGCCACGCTTACTTCCCCAGCTATGCTATGTGATTAGCTCTTTTTTTTTTTTAATATTATTTGCTAATGAATAATATTTCAATATGTTCTAAACTGGCTACTCTCTTTGTTTTCCTCAAACTGTATGCAGAGCAAAATATTGTCACTTAGCATAAAATACTTGCAGTTTTACATCTTCACTCTTACCTAGTGAATATTTGAAACAAAGTGGTAATGACCAGACCAGCAATGGACAATCCAACACCAGTGTAGGAAATACACTCCAAAGGCTTTGCATGTTTATATTTTATCTGAAAGGCCTAGAAAACAAATTGTATCAGTTATAAGATGAGAAGAGATAATTTTCTTTCTAAAATTGGTGTTTCTAGTTGCACACAGAAATGAAAATGTTTTAGTGAAATTATGACTGTTGGTAGCTAGTGACAAAATTTTCAGCTCACACAAAATTATTCAGGACCTCAAAACTAGAGAAGCTTGTGAAGAACTCCAAAAAGAGGCTTAACATTGGCAATCAAATATTTAACAAAATAGCAGATTAAATTATTCATACCAAAATGCAAGGCAACACAGACTGGAGACAGTAGCTTTAACTGTTTGTACTGATGTGCATTCTGAGTTTTGACTTCTGAGGTCTTCTGGTTGACAGCCGGCTGAATATGAGCTGGCACTGTGCCCAGGTGGCCAAGAAGGCCAACAGCATCCTGGCTTGTATCAGGAATAGTGTGGCCAGCAGGAGCAGGGAGGTGGTTGTCCCCCTCTACTTGGCACTGGTGAGGCCTCACCTTGAATGCTGTGTCCAGTTTTGGGCCCCTCACTACAAGAAAGACATTGAGGTGCTGGAGCGTGTTCAGAGAAGGGCAATGAAGCTGGTGAAGGGTCTGGAGCACAGGCCTTATGAGGAGCGGCTGAGGGAACTGGGGTTGTTTAGCCTGGAGAAGAGGAGGCTGAGGGGAGACCTTATCGCTCTCTACAGCTACCTGAAAGGAGGTTGTAGTGAGGTGGGTGTTGGTCTCTTCTCCCAGGTAACAAGTGATGGGATGAGAGGAAATGGCCTCAAGTTGCATCAGGGGAGGTTTAGATTGGATATTAGGAGAAATATCTTCATGGGAAGGGTTGTCAAGCAGTGGAACAGGCTGCTCAGAGAAGTGGTGGAGGCACCATCCCTGGAGGTATTTAAGACACGTAGACATGGCACTTAGGGACATGGTTTAGTGGTGGATCTGGCAGTGTTAGGTTAATGGTTGGACTCAATGATCTTACAGGTCTCTTCCAACCTAAATGATTCTGTGATTCTATTGTATGATTCTATAAGGTCTAAGGTAAGATGTTGTAATAAATTACAAATTAAACCCCGTCTTTGTATAGTGACAAAAAAGCAGCAAGTAAATGTAAACAGTGATACAGAAAATACTGTTGACTTTGCATAAACGGATGGGAATCTTCTCTTAGAATATAGTCATTTTATGCAATAAGGCCATGCATAAGATAAAGAGGAATACAGAAACAAGTAATATTACAAATATGGAAATGCTGTTCTAGGAAGACAGAATAAAAAGGAACTCTGAAATCCTGGCACTCCTGAAGTCAATGACCACAGATATGTGATTTTAGCCAGGGAGTCTTTTGTTTAGAGAAGCTGAAACAAATACTGAAAGAATAATGAATGTCAGAGAGAGACAGTAATTCGTAAGTAGTCTTGCTAGTACAAGAGGGCAATATATAAAACTTACTGGTAGCAGGCTTAATGTTTACAGAGTGATTGCTTTTTATAAACATATAAGCAAAGGAAGTAGTTAATGCTAAGTACTTTGAGTTATTTACCCAACAGAAGGCAGTGCCACAGCTAAGACAGATCCCACGCTACTGTACCGTTCGTCTTGGGGCACTTTAGGGTTTAGGCATACACTCATTTAACAACCAGCTGCAGCAATGGAGGTGCAGAGCTGGAGGCTACCACAGCTGAGCAAGGGGAACGAATTGTGCCAGCACTTCCCTGCTGCTGGGGTGCAAAGGCAGGTGGGTGCAGCCACAATCTGTGTCAGAGGAAACCAGGACTCGCCAATACGTTTGGCTTTCCAGCAGCCTGGGGACAATTCGCATGTCCCAATTTGCCAGCTCTGCCACAGGTCAGAAACAAGTATGTGGCGACATCTCAAACTCCTGTGCCTTCTAGCTCAGCACGCCTATGTCCTTACATTGGCATGCTGGTCTTACAGTTGAAAACAACCAAACAAATGAAAAAAACTCCAAACTCTTCCCATTCAAGAAAGGACAACGCCCTACCATCAGGACAGCAAAATTAGTAGTGTGATTACACCTGCAGCTCAAGAACTGGTCTTTTCCTTTTGCACAGCTGGCAGTGCTCCAGTCATTGACAGTATATTCCCGAAAGACACAGGCAGGACTGCAGTTCGGATGTGTTGTACTATGGATTGGGATTGCAAGGAGAAAAAGTGGCTACAGAATCATAAACAGATATGCACCAGCAAATGGCAAGTACTGAAAATTGTCCTCTGAAAGGGGAGCTGACAGCTACTAAGGGACTTAGGTGGTTTACAGTAAACCTAATGAACGGTATCTATAACAGCATAATTTGGCATTTTGAACTTATTGTGTGTGCCTTTATCAGTCAAGATTGCCAATGAAATTACGCATTTCTTTGAATTATTCAGGTAATTACGGTTCAGATGGACATTGACTGGGCATTAAATAACTGCCAGATGAATTCTGTCTAAGCCAAACAACAGCTTTCAGATATTAGTAGTGTTAAATTACTGCCAACCAGAGCTGAATCCACACTGTAAGAGGAAGCAAACAACAATAAATGCCAAGAACCATTCCCTCCCTCCTGCAGCACGACAGTGCTCATGCAGTCATGTGTCAAACTGCATGCAGGCATTTTTGGACAACATACTTCTGCAGGGTACTGCAATTAGAACTGCTTTTTAATAAGCAACAAGCAGCTTGAAGTGCAAAGAAGTAGTGAAAGAAACTATTCACAGTACTACGTAGTTCAATGAAAAATGAGGAATAAAAGTAGAACTAAAAAATCAATTATAAGGTTGTTTCAGTGATTTCCTTAGAAATGACACGTTTCCCAGATCACCTAACTGTATGGATCCATGATGATGATTACTGATCTATCATATGCATGTATTTAAGCTTAAAACCTTTGTTAAATATTATAAGAAGAAACCAACTACTGTTTTATGGAGAAACCATGCTAAACATGAGCACATATTATCTAAAAATTCAGTTATTTGGGCAAATGGACACTCACATAGAGCATTTCCTGCAAGAAAACAGTAACATCTGGAATCAGTTCCTGGGGGAGGAAGTCAAAACAAAACACACAATGATTTTAACTGGAAGCAGGAGCTAAAAGATAGTATGAAAAATGAACACTCCCCACATTGGTAGGTGTATTGGGCTATGTCAGTCATGTTGACTTTTTCTTGTTTTCAAAAATTTTGATAGTGTTCTGGAAAGAAAAATTGTCCTCCAGGGACCTGGCTTCTTTCATTCTTGATTTAGGACTAATCTACCCTAGGACAAATCCACTCTGGTATACCTACAACTTTTCATGGAATACAGTTTTGCTTGCAAACGTCCTAGTTTAGCAGTACTGAGTCAGTAACATCAGGTGCTAAATACAGAAGTTGAAAAATGTTTTCTATGCCATGTTATCTAAACACCCTTCACTTATGTTACCTATATATCCCACAAACCCTCTCAACTGCTTATTGCAGAAATCAAGGCAGTATGCCAAAATAACCCCCTCTGCTTGAGTTTCCCTAAGTCCTGAAGACAGGTCGTAGGGCAAGGGCAGCCTTTGGTTCAAACTGAACATGGCATTTCTTACGGAGGCTCACCTTAGGACTGAAGGCTGTTTCAACACCACTGGTTCTTCCACCACCAATGTTGCCAGAGATTATTTGTTTACAGAAACTGCTGCAACTTATAAATCCTTGACTGGAAGAGTTTGTCATTTTGATACAGGACAAAGCCAACTCTTCCATTGCCTGATGAACCTTCATGAGGCAAACAGAAAAGTAGGTATGGATCACCTCTGTGCCTGGGAAGATCATGGAACAGATCCTCCTAGACGCTATGCTAAAGCACATGGAGGACAGGGAGGTGATTCAAGACAGCCAGCACAGATTCCCCAAGGGCAAGTCCTGCCTGACCAACCTCATGGCTTTCTATGAAGGAGTGACTGCATCAGTGGACAAGGGAAAAGCAACGGATGTCATCTATTTGGACTTCTGTAAAGCCTTCGACATGGTCCCCCACAACATCCTTCTCTCTAAATTGGGGAGATACGGATTTGATGGGTGGACTGTTCAGTGGATAAAGAATTGTTTGGGTGGTTGCATCCAGAGGGTCGTGGTCAATGGCTTGATGTCCAAATGGAGACCAGTGATAAGTAGGGTCCCTCAGGGGTCTGTACTGGGACCAGTGCTGCTTAATATCTTCAATGACATAGACAGTGGGATTGAGCGCACCCTCAGCAAA